TACCAGTTTGTACTTACCCATAACATTGTGCGAAAGCAAACACGTGCGTTTAACAAACAATTTATTGTTAGCCTGATTACAGCATTACTGGAATGAATACGCTGTGTATAGTTCTACAGCTAAAGAACGAACGTCACACCAAACCTACAAGACAGAAGATGTCATCACTTTAGCCTTCTTATTTCTTCTTTTTCAATAAAGTTCTACTATCTGCGTAAAGCATTTCGCGCCCATTTTCATCTTTTTTTCGACACAAAAGCTATTGTTCAACGAAAGAACAAAAATTCCCTCAGTATGTACAACTTGTGAATGTATCTTCGTTTTGCGATCTTTACACAGTTGATGCCGTTTTACACTTTACAGTGGCAATAATTTAAGTAATGTTAGTCAAAGAAACTAATGATCATGTTGATACAATGTAACATCTATCTCAGCCAATCAAAGTTAGTGTAAAAAAAGCAGGCCTGTGAAAGCTGTGAGAAGACATTAATTTTTTAACTCTCTATAAAATATTAGCATCACATTGGAATACCTTCATTCAGTTCCGTATTATTAAATTTAGTCCCAAGTAGTGAATAACCTAGTAAACTGTAAACAATTATGTAAAGTTTTGTTTAACTTCAGTTTTCTCATCTTTAAAATCCTTAATATGGAATAGAAAATTAAAAACAATTAAACACTAGAGAACAACAACAAATAATTAATACGTCGTTGTAAAGATCTTGTTTTAATTTCTGTTGAATATAGAATACATTCAAAATGTAATGATTACGACTTAAAAAACGCTAAACCTATAAAGCAGGATTATTCAAAAACTATAAATATTTCATTATTTCAATTTGAAAACGACGAACAAGTGTTTTTCTACTGTTCTACGAATAGCACATATAATGATAATGAAACAAATATATTGGATTTAGAGTATGCCATTTTTACGTCATATTTTGTCTTCAGAAGAACCGATATCTACCAGATATATACTTTACTTGTTAATTTAGACATAAAAGTTAAGTTATTTCTAACATTTACTTATTTTTGTTGGAAAACGGCTTTCTTTTAATAAACAAATCAACAAGATTATCCAGTAATAAGGAGCAATAGCGTTTTTAGCCCTTTGAGAATTTTGGTAGGAGCAAACGATATGTAGGAACTTTACAATAAATATTATTTCCAGTTAGAAGCTACCTTTGGTCATAAACAATAGACAAATCAGAGGTAAATGGTGCTCACCTTGGGCAAACATTGCTGTTATCAGTAGAATAATCATCTTCTACACTATAATCCACTCATTGACAAAGACAAACGTCTGGCTACAGGGGTAGCTGGATATCAACTAAACAACATCAGACACCTGGGTTGGCAACTTACAAGAGACTCGGCTTTCTACACTTGCACAACTGGTGCCATCTTTCGAAAGAAATAACATCAACTTATGAATTTCCAAAATTATGAGATTTCTGTAGTATATTGTTATACTAAAATAACACAATAAAAGCACTTTCACACATTTGTCAAGAAAAAAGTATTAATTTCAATTTCAAACATTATTTAGTGAATGTATGTCTTTTAACAAGTTAACATAAAATTGTTTGTTACATGTCTAGGGTAGTGTTCTACGTAGGTTCGATACGTTATATCCTAATGATTTTTGGAGCCTCGCCAAGTCATTACAGTTTATATAGAATGCCTTCTTTAAATCCCGATTTATGTTATTTAAAGTTATGATTATATGTCGGTATTTTTATTAAGTCCCAATAAAGGATAGTGTCTTCTTAAGTTCCTGATACCTTAAATCATGATATACGTCACAGCATACTACAACAACTGATTAACAATTATTGTGTTTTGTACATTGAAAAATCTCGTCAACTAGCCATTAATTGCTCAGTTTTCAAGAGTTGAGTAGGTTATATGAAAACTATTTTAATATGCAAATCAGCGGTCGCGTGACAAACACCACTTATGTAAATGGCGGTGGAACGATATGTATCAGAAGTACATGGCATGACGATCTCATGACGTGGCCTTCTGCAATAGAAAATGCGTTGTAGGGCTATTTTCGTCATGCATGGCCGTCGGATAGAGCAGGATCGGACGAAAAACGTAACTTGAAGTAAACAACAACCTGTATCAGAACTTCTAGAATACAATATCAGGTTTTAAGACCTAAATAAAGAACTAATGTAAGTTAAGATTTGAGAAAGACACAGAACTTTAAATAGGCCTTTAAGTGAACCTGAATTTAATGATCACACACACTAGTCAATAAAAAAAACATTTTCTCTTACATATTGTCCATTGAAAACTTTAGTTTTTTAATGATTTTTTTAAAGGAGGTATGTCATTGTTAAGTAATAATAACGTAACTATTTCAGTGATGGAAAACAAATATTCGAAGAAATCCTAAAACTTCTCCTGATTCTTATTGTGAGTCATTTGTTGTAGTTTCAACCTTTATCACTTGAATCTATTGGGGTTTCAATGATACGTCTCAACTATGTAGCTGCTTGATAAAATAAGTAACATATATCACGGTTATAAGAATTATTTATTTGTTTGTTATTATAGTGATTATATGAATAATAAGACTTAAGCGTCTTAAGTGATATCACAGGCATATTTCGACACTTAGTATACATATTAATAAATTATGTAAAATCTTTTGAAATTAGAGTGACATTATGTTACAACTGCAAGGGCCAAAAGGCGACGAAGAGCTTTAAAATATTACTTGTTAATATTAGCATTACACTTTATCATATTGCACATAAGCTATAATTTTGTATATATTGATGGGTGCAGATAATAAAAAAGCTGAAAAGAAAAATGAGGATACGCTAACCACTTAAAATGCTTTGAAACGCTCTAGGAAATTTTTGAAAATTTATTTATTAATTTATTTCGTTGTGCTTGGTTTCTCCCTCGATATCAATCCATTTTTGCGCCTGGCAGTAGACACTAAAACGAAAGTTTGAAAATGGTTCCGCCTCTCACTGAACAGCACGGTTCAAAATTGAAGAATCTGATTGGCCCTGAGGACAATCTTTACCTCCGAACTAAGTAATCCCCTTCAAACTTTCCGCTTGATCACTCTTTACCTCAGGTTGCATAGACACTTATAAGTATCACCATTACAATTTTTACATTAGAGATAGTTTCCAAGCTCATCAGTTCAACTCGAGAAAATGTACCTGAGGCAGTATAATATAAATTCAGCGAACGAAGCATGTACCACAGATGACTAGGTCAGTCATAACGTGCATTTTAAATACATACTCCTTGCCGGTATATAAATTATATATATATAATTATAGTGATTATCCCCATTAAGCAGTAGCGGACAGGAAAGATGCTAGAAAATCAAATAAAACGTGTTTTATAGATGGGTTTAAACCATCACCATGACAAAATTTCTCGAAATCACCTCGTCTATAATAATTTTTCTATTTTTCTTTAGGGTAATTTATAGATCTTATGGTAACATGTTTCAGGTAAAATGTATTGCAGACTTTTTGCGAACCTTTGGAGAAATAATAGTGCATAAGTTAGTCAACTTTAACATGCATGTGATTCTGGTGTGACAAAACTAACGATCTAATTGGTTATGAAGTTTTCTATAATTTGACATTTTCCTTACAAAAATACTACGATAAAGAAAGTACAAACACGTGTTGTAACGACTTAACGTGATGATGTGTTTCCAGCTTATGCTTGAATCATGCTAACCTCTGAAGGCTAACGTAGCGTGTGCTTTTCAACATCCGAAGTTCTTCTACATACAAAACCAGATGAAATTAATACCCACCAGAATTGCTTGTTTCACGACTGATGCCCACTGGGAAATACGTATAGTATCAGATATCGACAAAATAGGAGTTTTTTTCGTTTAAAGTGTTAGAATTCCGCCATTCAATTAGAGATTCACCTCTAGCATAAAATATACATATGTTCAACTTTATAAAAATGTAAAAATTCTATGTCATTCACTTAGAAAGGTTTTTCTGTTTGTTTTTAAAGTAAAACTGCACAACGGGCTATTTGAACTGTGTCCACTGCAAGGATCGAACCATGAATTTTAGCGTCATTAATCCTTAAGCTTTTTCTTTTTAAATAATAATGTAATGTTAGTTAAGGTTGGATGGTTCGAAAGCGTTAAAATAGCGAGACGATAACTTTGTTCACTTTTAGAACTTTTATTCCAAAAAACACATGACATATGTTTAGTAATATTCGTTTATGGTATTTTACGTTTGAAATATACAAACATGTTTTGTTGATTTGTTTGCTTTAGAACAAAACCACCTTTAGCTATCTGCTGAGTCCATCTCGAGAAAACGAACCCTGGATTTTAGCGTTGCAAGTTCGTAAAATTACCCACTTGAGGACTACAAATATTCAATCATAAGTGGATACATTCAGTAATGGAAATAAATTTTCTATTTAATGTTATTTTTGTTACTATTCTAATGTATTCTATTTAAATGTATATTGAACATACATAGTACATTGATATTATGTATATAATCTCATATTACAGACTTGTTTTTATGCTGTTCACTACCAGTAGTGTCTACATATTGCGTCATGTTGAATAATTTTATGATCTTACCTGTTAAACCACTTAGTGTGAACAATTGACATAAATAATTTGGTTAAACTACTAATTTTCTATGTAGAATACACAGGTAACCCTAGTAATGGTATTGCTTACAATATTGATGATATTTTTGTTTGTATCTTTATATGTAACACGCTTGTGTTTGTCTGTATGGAAGATTTCTCGCAAATTTCTCGATGAAATGCTACAAATCCTATATCATTAGAAAGGTCTTTGTCCAAGGAATCTGGATTGCATGTTGGCTTTTCAGCTTAGGATCACCTTACCTTTTCTTCGGCTTAGTCAAATTTTCAATGCAACGAATATGGTACACGATGGCACAATGTCGTTGTTATCAAGTGACAACTGACTTCGACTAGCTCAGATTTCAACTTTAGGTTTTGCATTTGGAAAATATTTCACACAAACAACATTTAGTCCGCATGTAAGTTCCTAAAAAGTGAACAATACACTAGATAATATTTTTATAGGCTTTCTCGACTTATTTAGGTCTAAACTACGCATGCGTAGTTCGTTCAAAAACATATGCTTATCACCTTATGAACACGCCTTTAGACGTTTCTGCATATTCAGCTAAGTTTGTCGTCATCACAGCTTTAATTTATTATATTTTGCAATAACTTAGCATCGGTTCATTTCATAGACTGCTATAAACACCTATTAGATATTCTTTCTTTAGTACGGGTTTTATTCTTCGTTTTTGTGAGTTTCTTTGTTTCAACTCGTAAAAGCACGTCATAGTATTTTTATAATTCATATCTTATTAGGAACGAAAAAAGTAATGGATGACAAACAATTTAATGCGTTAATGCTTAAAAATCGTGTGTAAAAAAGTGATGAGGTTATGAAACTCATTGGTAATTCTAGAAATAAAAATGAATCTTATTGTCATGACTTGGAATCTCTGGCACAAGTTTCTCTGATTGGCTGAAAGACGATCCATGAAAATGGGCTACTAAGTCTTAAGTTAATATATCTTTAGTTGCAACTTTAGGCATGCCCCTAATACAAAGAGTCGAGTTCGTTATATTAAAACGATTTTGAATATAAAAATCTGTAAGTCACGTGACAACCATAACCGATATAAAATTGCAGTGGGACGATATGTATCAGAACTACATTTTGACATTGGCATTTTTAGGTAGTGTGATGTCACAGAAAACGAATAGCTTTTGGAAAGGGAAAGTGATAACCCATTTACGCAAGTTATATATACACATTCAGGTCATAAATATATGTTCAGATCGGAGGTTTATAATTTCGAAGACTGGGATATCCGTTGTTTTTAAAGGAATTGGAAAATAAAGGATTGTTGGTGAACTTGGAACATCAAAACCATCTAGAAAGAAACATACAACAAGTCGTATTCCAGCTGTTGTAAGCAAAGTGTGGCGTTTTATAACTGGAGAGAATCCACGAACAGCACAGATACCCCAAGGTGTAGCTTTGTGTTTAATTACTACAAACAGATAAATAACCTATTTTTAGAAATATTTGCAAGACCAGCAACAAGACTCAATCACTGCTTTGCCCTGATTCAAAATGAATGGTACGTAAGTCGGAAGTTTGATATTCGAAACCAAGATATAATACATCCATCACTTAATCGTCATACGGTAATTAAACATTCTTTCAGCAGTTTTTGGAATTTATGGTTATAATGCTGCTCAATTTTATAAAGAATCTCAAGATTGTATTTTCAAATAGCATGTTACTTCACCCTTAATTTTGATAATGTAATAAAGTCAATGTGTAAGACTTTTTAATCATTGTTATCTTTATTTCGTTT